CACGACCACCCGCTCCTAGGAAGGGACAGCCCCCTCCCCCAGCACACACACACACACACACACACACACACACTCAGTGCCCTCCACTCGGCCTGGCACTCCGCCCAGAGATCGCACAGCCTGTCAGGGCGCAGACCCACAACATGGCAGGCTCGGCTCGCAGTCGGGCCTCGGTGGGACCCGCAGACCCAGGTTCAGCACACTCACAGAGCCAGCACACACACACACACACACACACACACACACACACACACACACACACCCTCCCCAGAAATGCAGGGCACCCGCACCAGGCCAGGCCCAGGAATGCCCAGCCTCTGGGAACAGGCCCATCGATGGCTACCAGCGCAGATGAGCAGGCAGCTAGGTATTTTGTCCACCAGAGGAAATATCCAATTCTATGTACTGGTCCCTAATGCAGAGGCCTTGGTGTGGGCCTCCTCGGACAGCACCGACAAAACACACAGAAGAAACACATTCCTGCAACTCCAGAGGGACTGTCCCCAAGCCTCCTCCCTGGTCTTCAAAAATCCCAAACTCAGGAGGGTGAGGAACCAGCCCTCAGAGTTCCTTTCTGAAACAAGGTGAGACACGACAAATTAAAACCAAAGAAGTCGCATCACAGAGCTAGTCTTAAAGAGAAAAAGAAGAAAAAAAAAAGAATCAGAACAACTTTGGAATCACAGAGGCAGAGATGTAAAGCCAGCAGAGTGGGACACAAAGAGAAAACAGGCCCACCCCCATCTCGGGGAGGTTCGGGGAAGAACCCCACCCCTGCCATCAGGTCACAATGGCTGGAGCTCTTAAGGGTCCCAGGGGCCCTGAGCAGGAGGAGTGGAGGAAGTCCAAGGAAAGATGGTGAGTGTGAGGGCTAAGGGGCCATAGCCTCCTCCCTTATAACTCCTGGCTGCTCCCTGCTCCCTCCTCCCGTAGCACTTGCCAGCTGTCCTAGAGAAGGAACAAATGACATTCACCGTGGTGTACCCAGATGTCCCTGGAACCTGTGACATCACATAAACACATAGCGTCAGAGGCCACCTCCTCTTCCTCATACCAGCCGAGCATCGCTGGCTCTTCCTTTTCTCCTCCCAGGAACAACTTACCCAGAGAAACAGTGCTCCAGGACTGCCCACTCCCTACTTCCTGCCGTATTACCACACTGCACTGCCTCATCCATCTTTCAGGCCCTTTCTCGCTCCCGAGTTCCTCAGCAAGACAGCCTGCCCCTCTACAGTCCACGGGGTCCTAGACCCCAGCCTGACATTTGCCCTGTCTCATGTCCCCTGGACTATGGCTGCCCTAATGCCTGAGCTCTTTTCTCCCTAACAAGCTGGCACTCACCCCTACTTCAACCTGCCAACTTCACCCAGTCATCATGGCGGGCCCTCCACTCCGCCCAGCCTCCCCCGGCACCTGTACTGTCACCACGAGTCTGCTTGTGGCCCGGCTGGGCCCCTTCTCCCAGGCGTCTTACCAGATTTCCCACTTATCCTTGCTGGAGCTGCTCATCTGTTGATGCCTCTTCCACCTCCCCTTTGCCTGGCCCCTGCCTGTACGCTCTCACTCAGGTGATGCCTGCTGGCCACACTGTCCTCGTTCACAAAAGTTTTTCCATCATCTGCTCTGTTCTCCTCGCCCTCTGTCTCGAGAGCCAGGGTCTCAGTCACTAGGACTGGTATGGCCTAGTGGGCAGCTCCGTGGGACTCATCCTCATTGTGGGACCTGGACTAGGGATACTACCGAGGGGACGAAGGGCCTCTGCATGGCTCTGAGCTATGTGCTCGCTTTTCTGGGCGGCCTGGCACTATCGCTGGGGCTCCCCCTCCTGCCTACCAACAGTGCCTTCCTGTTTGGCTTGATGGACCTGGTGGGCTGTGTACCAGGCCTTTCTCCTTTCCCCTGCTGCCCATTGATCCTCTCCTCTGAGTTGGAGCTGTGTGAGGGCAGTGGTGATCTTTGCTCTGGTCTCCTTTGTGTGAGCTATTCGGTCACCAAGGTCCACCCTGCCCTGGTGTGCACTATCCTGCACTCTGAGTCAGTCCACTCCCTGAGGTGGTGGTGGCCCCCGCGATGCTGCAGTATTAGGTGCTCTATGAGACTGTGGCACCTTTTCTTTTCTTTTCTATTTATTATTTTTAAAAATATGTTTTTATTGATTTCAGAGAGAGGAAGGGAAAGGAAGAGACAGACACATCAATGATGAGAGAGAATCATCAATAGGCCACCTCCCGCACACCCCCTACTGGGGACCGCAGCTGAAACCTGGGCATGTGCCCTGCCCAGGAATTGAACTATGCCTGGTTCATAGGTTGATGCTCAACCACTGAGCCACACCCACTGGCTGGGCTATTTTATTTGTTTATTTATTTATTGTTGGTAATCTTCTCCTAAGGATATATATATATATATACATATATATATATATATTTTTTTTAATTAGATCTTTATTGTTCAGATTATTACAGTTGTTCCTCTTTTTTCCCCCCATAGCTCCCCTCCACCCGGTCCCCGCCCCCCACCCTCTGCCCTTACCCACCCCCCACTGTCCTCATCCATAGGTGTACAATTTCTGTCCAGTCTCTTCCCGCACCCCCCACACCCCTTCCCCCGCACCCCGAGAATAGTCAGTCCACTCCCTTTCTATGCCCCTGATTCTATTATATTCACCAGTTTATTCTGTTCATCAGATTATTTATTCACTTGATTTTTAGATTCACTTGTTGATAGATGTGTATTTGTTGTTCATAATTTGTATCTTTACCTTTTTCTTCTTCTTCCTCTTCTTAAAGAATACCTTTCAGCATTTCATATAATACTGGTTTGGTGGTGATGAACTCCTTTAGCTTTTTCTTATCTGTGAAGCTCTTTATCTGACCTTCAATTCTGAATGATAGCTCTGCTGGATAAAGTAATCTTGGTTGTAGGTTCTTGCTCTTCATCACTTTTAATATTTCTTGCCATTCCCTTCTGGCTTGCATAGTTTCTGTTGAGAAATCAGCTGACAGTCATATGGGTACTCCCTTGTAGGTAACTGACTTTTTTTCTCTTGCTGCTTTTAAGATTCTCTCTTTGTCTTTTGCTCTTGGCATTTTAATTATGATGTGTCTTGGTGTGGTCCTCTTTGGATTCCTTTTGTTTGGGGTTCTCTGCACTTCCTGGACTTGTAAGTCTATTTCTTTCACCAGGTAGGGGAAGTTTTCTGTCATTATTTCTTCAAATAGGTTTTCAATATCTTGCTCTCTCTCTTCTTCTGGCACCCCTATAATTTGGATGTTGGTACGCTTGAAGTTGTCCCTTACACTATCTTCATATTTTTTGGATTCTTTTTTCTTTTTGTTTTTCCGGTTGGGTGTTTTTTGCTTCTTCATATTTCAAATCTTTGACTTGATTCTTGCGATCCTCTAGTCTGCTGTTGGAACTCTGTATAATATTCTTTATTTCCTTCAGTGTATGCTTAATTTCTAGTTGGTCCTTTTTCATATCCTCGAGGGTCTCACTAGATTTCTTGAGGGTCTCACTAAATTTATCAGCGGTTTCTAGAAAATTCTTAAAAAACCTTATAAGTGTAGTTTTGAACTCTATATCCTGTAGTTTGCTTTCCTCCATTTCTGTTGTTTGTGACCTGTTTCTTTGTCTCCGCATTTTTTATGCTTCCCTGTGTTGATAGAGTGGCTTTCTGTGCTAGGTGTCCTATAGGGCCCAGTGGCTCAGCCTCCCCAATTACCTGAGGTGGACACTCTTGGTGCACCCCTTTGTGGGCTTTGTGCACAGTCTTGTTGTAGTTAAGCCTTGATTGTTGTAGTTATCACTGGGAGGAATTGACCTCCAGGCCAATTGGCTGTGAGAATCAGCTGTGTCTGCAGTGGGAAAACGTCTGTGCTGAAGACACCCTTCTGGGGCAAGACTTGCTTCAGTGGGGCTTTGGTGCTCACTGAGTCTGCCCCCTGAGTGTGTTCCTTATGGATCTGAGGAGTTGTAATCTGGATGGTCCCACTCTGACCACTGGGTACATTGGCTCTTGGATCTCTAAGGAGGTGCTAATTTAGCTTCTGCCTGAGGCTACTCAGCAGGAGCTATGGAGAGATCTGCAGATTCCTCTTTGTTTGGGGTTTGGAAGTGCCCAGATGAGGCCCAGCTGTGAAGCAATGCAAGCTGCTGCAGGGCCTTGGGCCTCCTTTTGGAAGTTCTGGGTCTGTCTGGCCCAGCTGCAGTTTGTTAGGTAATTTTCTGATTGCAAAGGGCCAGGCCTTTCATATGCAAAAGCCTCTGTGCACAGCTTGGGTGGGGTGGGGTCTCAGGGGATCAACAGGGTGGAGCAAGCAGCTATGGCTGCTCCTCAGTCCTGCCCTAAGAGGCCCCATGTCTCAGTGTCCCGGTAATCGCTGCAAGCACCTCTGAGAGAAAGCCACCCTCGAGTTCCGACCGATGCCAGACAGTCCAGTTTCTCCCCGTATGAGTCTGGGTCCCAAGAGACTCACCTGGAACTGGAGTTCAGAGCAGTCGGGAGCTTGAGACTCCCTCCCGATTGAAAAAGACAACCGTGTCCTCAGTTGCCAGCCCTTTCCACGTGCGCCTCTGTACCTCTGCACTTTACTTCCACACCTCCTCTGAGTCTGTGTGCTTTTCTCTTTCTGTCTAGTTGTAGAATTTCCACTCAGCCAGCCTTGCTGTGGTTGTGGATGATGTCCATTTTGTCTTTTAGTTGTATTTTTGAAGTGGTTGTGCGAGGCAGCAATTTCCGGTGTTTACCTATGCCGCCATCTTGGTTTCTCCCCCGAATATATATATTTTTAAATATATTTTTATTGATTTCAGAGAGGGAGAGGGAGAGAGAGATGGAAACATCAATGATGACAGAGAATCATTAATCAGCTGCCTCTTGCACACCCCCTACTGGGGATCAAGTCCATAATCTGGGCATATGCCCTTGACCAGAATCGAACCCGGGACCCTTCTGTCCGCAGGCTGATGCTCTATTCACTGAGCCAAACTGGGTAGGACAAGGATATTTTTTCCATTGCTTTTTCAGAGAGAGTGGAAGAGAGAAAGGGGTGGGGAGAGAGAGAGAAACATCAATGTGAAAAAGCCGTATCGACTAATAGGGGAGAGCGAACCCACAACTCAGGTACCCTTGACTGGCATCAAACCCAAGACCCTTCAGTGTGTGGGCTGATGCTCTAGTCACCAAGCAACACCAGCCACGACTTTTTTTTTTTTTTTTTTTTTAGAGAGAGAGAGGAAGGGGGGAGAGGGAGAGACATGGATGTGAGGGAGAAACATCAACATTGATTGGCTGCCTTCCACACCCTCCCCCGCACCCCTGACTGGGATTGAGCCCACAACCTGAGTTTGTGCCTTGACCGAGAATTGAACATGCCACCTTCTAATGTACAGGAGACGCTCCAACCGACTGAGCCACACTGGCCAGTGCGAGAGAGATGGTGGCACCTCTGACATCACTGGGGCAGTGGTTGTGCTGGCCATCACCAAGGCCCAGAACCTCAGCTGTGAGAGGGCAGGGCAGGTGGAGGAGTGAGACTGACTTGAGAGCTGGGGGTGGGGATGGGGGTGGGGGGAAAGGCAAGGGCAACTGGTGTGGGACAGGGACAGACCTTGGGGTCCAGGGGAACCGGGACCTGGTGGAAAGGGACTGCCTGGAAGACCTGGCACAAGCCTGGGGACCAAGAGATGTGGAATCCAGGCTGGGGCAAGAGGACCGGATAAGAGTAATAAATATTGTCCGAGGAGCAGATCCAAGGAGCTGAGGCAGGCAGGCCATGAGTCACGGGGAGATCGGCACCCCAGCACAGGGAGAAGGCCATGGCTGGGGCGTTTGGAGGCCAGGAGAGCAATCAGCTGCGCTGGGGGAAGGGCGTCTGCCTGTTTTCCTTGCGTGAGATTGCCCTTCCCAGTGGCTGTGCCCCCTCCCTCCCTCCACCCCAACCCGTCCCCCCTCCCTGGCCAATTTGGGGTGGTGACGTGACACTGACATCAAACAAGGATCACCCTGAATGTGGCTGCACAGTTTGTGTCCTCTCCGCTGTGGAAGGATAGTGGGAGCCCCCCTCCCCCACCCTTTTCCTGAAATATTCTAGAAGGGAGAGGATTCCCTAACGTTCGGATGCTAGGCCCTGACCCCCGGGGCTCGCGTCCCGCCCCGCGGCTAATCTGCTTTTCCTGGATCGTCACGGTCCGTGATCTCCCTCCCAGGCAGCGCCTTCCGGACAGGCCTGAGCCGAGGTCTCCGAGCGGCTCCGGCCGGGGATTCCGCACTCGGGCCGCGTACAGGGCTCCGCCGTTCGCGGCCAGAAGATGCCCACCCGTCCCAGGAGGCCTCTCGGCAAATAGCTACTTCCGGACAAACACTCGGCCAGGCCGTCTTGATCGACTCATACATATTCAGCGCGACTACTGCATATTCATGACCAAGGGCGGCCCCAGCACTACCCCCTGCGAGAGCCCCGTCGGCCCCGCCTTCTTCATTACCGAGTCACGGAACAGACCATTTTCCAGCGGGCGGGGGGGGATATTAATGACAAACTTGGGCTGAAGATGAAACACACTCCAAACTAGACTCTACACAGCCTATATTCACCCTCGATCCCTCAAACCTCAAACCTCAGCGCGGGAGCGAGCAGTTTAGGGAGGTGGAGGCATTCAATTTCCCTTCCCCCCTGTCATTTCAAAGGTCGCTCAACCCCGGAGCCGGGAAGGGAGGAGCAACGACTGGAGCGCGCGCCCCCGTGCGGGCCGGCGCAGACCGCCCTGGAGCGCAAGGGAGGGCGGGAAAGGAAGGGGCGGGGATGCAGGGACGGCTCTATAAAAGGCGTCATTCGCTCAGTTCTCTTCTCAGAAGCGCCGAGAGCGCGGCCGGGACGGTTGGAGAAGAAGGCGGCTCCCGGAAGGGGGAGAGACAAACTGCCGTAACCTCTGCCGTTCGGGAGCCCGGTTAACTATTTATTTGTTACCCTCTTTCTTCTCCCCCCTCTGAACCCTTTTCCTTCCCCCTCCTCCTTTTTTTTCCTTTTTGAGAAACGAAAAACCTCCGGAAACAGGGAGGAAAACTCCTTTCGCTCCTTTTCATTTCCCCGCCTCCTTCCCTCCCCCAACCTTTCCCTCCTCCGGCCTTCCCTTCCCTACTTAGGGAAGATCCTTCCCGGCGGCCGCCCCGACGGGGTCTGAGCTCTTAGGCGGAGGCGGCGCAGGCTTTTTGTAGTGAGGTTTGCGCCTGCGCAGCGCGCCTGCCTCCGCGATGCACGGGGGTGGCCCCCCCTCCGGGGACAGCGCATGCCCGCTGCGCACCATCAAGCGAGTGCAGTTCGGAGTTCTCAGCCCGGATGAACTGGTAAGCGGATCTGGTAAGCGGATCTGCCCTCGACTCTTCCTCCCTCCTCGCTGCGGGCGGGGTGTGGCGCTGCTCGCAGTCCTAGGCGACAGCAACGCCTAGGGCCCTAGGCAACGTGGGGTCCAGCCTAGAGGCTTCTCAGAGTTCAGTTTTGTTAGGGTGTTAGCCTGGCCGCAGCTGAGGCTGGAGGGTGAGAAGGGTGACTGGCAGCGCACCGCAGAGATCCCGACATGAAACAGACGAATTTTAGGGGCCCATTGCAAGTTCCATCACCAAGAAACTAATATTGGCAGTTAGCAAACACAATTCCAGATATTTCATCAAAGGTTGGGTGTTTGGCCCTAACTAGTTTGGCTTAGTGGATGGAGCGTCAGCCTGCGGACTGAAGGGTCCCAGGTTCGATTCCAGTCAAGGGCATGTACCTTGGTTGTGGGCACATCCCCAGTGGGGGTGGGGGTGTGTGTGCAGGAGGCAGCTGATCGATGTTTCTCTGCTCAGATGTCATGTCAAGGGAGCTCTTTCCTCACCACCCTATTTAAATGACATCCTTCTGCATTCTATAACCAACCCTTAGTCTTTTTTTAAAAATATATATATTTTTTACTGATTTCAGAGAGGGTGGGAGAAATAGAAACAATGATGAGAGAGAATAATTGATCGGCTGCCTCCTGCACACCCTATTGGGGATCCAGCCCATAACCCAGGCACGTGCCCTGATCAGGAATCAAACCGTGACCTCCTGGGTTTGACGCTCAACCAGAGTCACATGGCCCTATAACCTCTAGTCTTGATTTATTTTACTTCATAACCTGTCACTACCTGAGAGAATTCGTTTTTCTGTGTGTGGTTTTTTTGCTCCCTCAATAGAATGTAAATTTTATAAGAGACTTTTCACTCTCTTCTTTCAGCATCTCAAATAGTGCCTGGCACATAAGGCATGTAATTAAAAAGTTTGTCAAATGAGTGAATGAAATAATTGGACAAGTACACAAAGATACATGTAGAAGTATTTTATTGCAACATTGTTTGAAATTATAAATTTCCTAAGTATTAATTTACTAATAGGAATCCTGTTGAATAACTCAGGTTCTATTTTTACAGTAGAACAAGACCTTCCCAATAAATTAAATCCCAAACTGTTGAGGCTCTGCAGCAGACTCACAGGTACCCGTGAGAGATTTTACATTTTCTAGAAACACAAGCACATCTGGGAACTACTAGTGCCAGGTAGTTCCTTTTCAACATTAGGTGGCACCAAACCCTTTCAGATGACGTCATGTCTTTGTGAAGCTTGGTTTTTAGCAGTTGCTAAATTCTGGGCAAGATCATTGTAGAGCAAGAAATAGGGTGGTCCTGTCCAATCTGATTCTAAGATTTGAGAAATTGTGCAGTGCCCACCAGGTATCATAAGTAAATAATTGTGGTTATTGGGGGGGGGGGGGTGCTTTAATATATTAAAAACGTTTTTCTCAAATTTAGTGTATTTTTTCAAATGGTGTTAAGTTGGTAGGACATAAATACTTAAGCTGTTTGGATCTAAGTACTTAGTAAGTGGTGTTTTTTTGTTTGTTTTTGTCTAGGGAGTGTTGTGAAAATTACTGAGACACTAAGGCATTGGACCAATAAGTTTAGGAATCTGGATAAATGAAAGCGTTATTGAACAATATGCAGAATAAGACCCCATTTATGGAAAAAAAAAACCCGGAACATTTTCATTTTTTAAAAAGCATGAAAAGGCTGTTCACAAAACTTACAGGGGTCATTGCTTGCTGTTTATATAGTGCTCCTGTTGTTTAATCACCTGAGGATATGCTTTTATTGATTTGAGAAAGAGAGGGGGGGCGGAGAGAGGAAAGGAGGGAGAGAGAAGAGAAAGTCAGCGATAGATGTTTCTCACATTGATGTCTCTCTCCCTCTCTAAAATAAGTTAGAAAGAAAGAAGCATCAGTTGGTTGCCTCCCATATGCACCCCGACGGGGGGGTGGGGGTGGGGTGGGGTGGGGGAGGGATTGAACTCATAACCTGGTTATGTATCCTGACCAGGAGTTGAACCTGTGGCCTTTTGGTGCACGGGATGACGCTCCAACCAAGTCACACTGGCCAGTTTTGAGGGAATGAAATTTCCACTTTGGGTAGGAGGAGGATGGGTAAAGAATCCTCTCGTGGAACAGATATATTTAAGGGTAGAATATTTTCTCTTAAGTCTTGAGGTGGGGTGTATATTGAGATACTGAGGCTCTGAGAATTGGCTGCAAGGTAAAGCTATTGTCTTTGCGGTTAAAAGATGTTTGGCCCCGGCCAGTGTGGCTCAGTTGGTTGGAATGTCGTCCCATGCACGGAAGAGTCAGGTTCGATTTCTGGTCAAGGTACATGCCCAGGTTTCGGGCTCTTGATTGGGGGTCATGCGGGAGGCAACCAATCGATGTATCTCTCACATCAATATTTTTCTCTCCCTCTCCTTTCCTCTCAAAAAGAAGAAGAAAAAAAGTATTTTGATGTTGCTGAGTAAGGGGAAAGAAGCAAGGAGGTTTGGTGCTGGGGTTTATGAAAAGCTTGGGCAAAGTCAGGGGAAATGGGTGCTTGAATACATTTGAAGGCATTGACTCCTATTCATTAAAAGCAACTGTCTTCCATGGAAAGCATATCCTAACTTATTTATACCCCAACTTATTCCAAGAAGGATTAAAGACAGTAATAGCCCACACTATCTTTTAGGTAGTGTAAAGCTATTCTTGTCTTCAAATTACTTACAATCTAATAAGGGATTTCCTACACGTGCAACAAATATTTACTGAGCCTCTACCATGTGCTGGTTACTGTGCTAGGCGCTGAGGATAGAAAGGATAAATGAAACATAATCCTTGCCTTCAAGGATTACAGTCCAATGGGAGAGACAAATGTGTAAATAAGTAATTAAAAATTGGACTAAGGACCTTGCTGGGGTGTGGATAAGGCTACGAAGAATTGGAGAGGTGACGTTTGAATTGGGTCTTTTTTTAAAATTGGTTTTAGAGAGAGAGAGGAAGGGAGGGGGGGAGAGAGTGAAACATGGAATTGTTGTTTCACTTACTTATGCATTCATTGGTTGGTTCTTGTATGTGCCCTGACTGGGGATCGAACCCACAATTTGGCATATCGGGACGATGCTCGAACCAACTGAGCTGCCTGGCCAGGGCTGAATTGGCTCTTAAAGAATGAAAAGAAGTTTACTGGAAAGGAGGGGCATGTGAAGACAGGGAATTTTGAGAACTCTTTGGCAGTTGGAGCATAAATGGGGTGGAGAGATACCTATTAAAGCTGTTGCCCCACCAGCGTGGCTCGGTGGTTGCACGTTGACCAAATACCCAGAGGAGTGCAGCGCACAGCCAGGTGAGAGGGCAGTGATGGCGAACCTATGACACACATGTCAGAGGTGACACGCGAACTCATTTTTTTGGTTGATTTTTCTTTGTTAAATGGCATTTAAATATATAAAATAAATATCAAAAATATAAGTCTTTGTTTTACTGTGGTTGCAAATATAAAAAAATTTCTATATGTGACACGGCACCAGAGTTAAGTTAGGGTTTTTCAAAATGCTGACACGCCGAGCTCAAAAGGTTCGCCATCACTGTGATAGAGGGACCTCAGGGAACTCTGTTATAGAGGTGGGAAAAGAAAGGAAGGTGAGAACATCATAAAACCCTTTTGTAAGCTGTCTTGCTGAATTTGGACATCATTCTGAGGATAAGAGGGTATGAAGATTAGATTTCCATTCTAGAGGGAACACCCCAATTGTGGCATGTATGGGTTGGAGAGACATAGATTGATGACCTATGGGATGCTCTGATGTGGACCACAAAGGAAAGGCCTGACCTGGGGCAGTGGTGGTAGGGATGGAGAAGGGGGCAAACTCAAGAAATATTTAGGAGTTACAGACGAGATACACCCATACTTGGTGAATGAATGGGTAATTACATCCTGGGCTTATTAAGTGATTACACAGTTCATAATTCTAAACCAGGAGCCTGAGGGTAAGTGTTAGGGTCCCCGAAGGAGGAACACACGAAGCCAAAAGGGGTAAAGAATTATGAATTTATTAGGTAATCTGGATACCCAGATGGGCTGAGCCCCAAAATGGTGCCAGCATCCAGGGACAGGGAGTCAGAGATTTTTAAAGGACTCTGGGCGGGCTTTTTCTGGGTGGGGAATTCTCTGGGCGGGTCCTGAGGGGAAAGAGAATGGTCTTAGCAAGTGGAATGTGGTCTTCGCAAGTGCTAAGCGAAAGGGACTGTCTGTTGTGAAGTGGTCTAAAGGTCACTTCCCAGGGGAGGAGTATCCATTCTATTATTCCATCAGACCTGACAGTGAGAAGGGGTAAGTATTGGTTTGGGTCTTGAGTGCCACCACCTTAGAGGGGACTGAAGAGAAAGGAGAGATTTTTGTGGAAAAGGCGTCCGATTTTAGACATGTTGAATTTGATTTATCAGTAGGTATCTGCAGGGGGCTTAGTTGTAGTTACATATGTGACTTCCAAATCCAAAAGAAGGGTGATGCCTGGAGGGAATTTGGACCTCATCAGTATATAGTGAAAATCATGGGGTAGCCTATAGAGTGCTGTGAGGAGTGGGGGCGAACAAAACCTTGGGGAGCAGCAGTGTTTAAGGAGCAGACCAAGGCAGAGGAGCCTGGGGAGAGACTAAGAAGCAGCAGCCAGAGGTAGGGAGAGAGATGGTCAAGGAGTGGTCCCACAAGCCAAGGCAGAGAAGGGTCCCATCGGGAGCGGTGGTAGGGACGGTGGTAGTGGAAGGAGAGGGGATATTTAGGAAGATGGCTGTATAATCACTCATATCATAATCTTGCCCTTTGCTGGTTTGAATTCACCTGTTTTCCCCCCAGCATGATGCAGTGGAAAGAAGGCACAGGCAGGTTCTGGCTCTAATGCCTTCTAGTTGCGTGACCTTGGGCCTCAGTTTTGTAATCTGTAAAATAAAGACAGTGGCACATAGTTTATAAATTATGAAAATAAGAATGAATCAGCTAGCACTGCGCTTGGCACCAAGATGTATTCTAGAAGTTGAATCGTCACTTACGCTGCAGCATGGTAGAGTGGGTGAGCGTGTTTGGGAGCAGAAAGGGTTGGGTGTGACTTCTTGAGCTGGCTCCTCAAGCAGCTCGCTTCACCAGCCTCAGGTTTCTCGTGTCTGAGTTCTTCCCTTAGGAAGTTTAGTGGACCAGAAACCTTACCTACTTTAAAGGTCTTCGGTTGTGGGTGTGTGAAAACTAAAGGTTTCCTCAACCGTCCTGTAGCCCAGGGCAGAAATCTCTCCTTTCGTGCGTATCTACCTCTGAGCTCTTCATCTCAACCTTTCTTTCACTGAATTGGTGCCAGTGGTTCCTGGCCCCACCTTCCTCAGAATTCTAGACCTTGCCTCTGCCTTCATCTCGCGAGGGCCTGGGTTTACGTCTGCTCCAAATAATTTCCGCCAACCCTTCACTCTAGCTCCTGGCTCTCCTGACTTATTATAAAATCTCTATCTGAACATGGAAGGGTTCACGCTGGCCAGGCCCTTGAGAAGGGGAGGTTATGAGGATGGGCTACCTGACTTCGTAGAGCTGTCAGGCATGTCTTGAAGCAGGACACCTGTGCCATTCCAGCGGGAACAGAGGCTCCTGCCAGGGGCTCAGATTCTGGGCTTGATTTCAGCTTTGGGGAAGAAACAGGCATTGGTGTTTTTGTTGTTTTTCTTAAAACAACTATTTTTTTGCTGTTCAACCCTATATATGTCAGTGGCTTAGAATTCAACCTGGAGGGATGTCTGGTCATGTCCTAGAGGTCGCAGCTTACATGGAGCTTGAGATTAACCGAATGCTGGTCTGACCACTTCTCCCTAACTCAGACTCGGACGGGTCTTGACTTGTGATATTCAATTTTGGTTACTTCCAGAGGTGTTCACATACTGACCCCCCCATTCCCCTCACTCCAGGGTAAACTTGCTTAGTCTTCTGTCAATAGCTGTGAGCCTTTGAGGCTTTAGGTATGTAAAGTCTGGAAACTAGGAATCCTATTTAGTTGTTCTTGGCCTTCTTCTTCCTTCAGAAGCGAATGTCTGTGACAGAGGGTGGTATCAAGTACCCTGAGACAACTGAGGGAGGCCGGCCCAAGCTTGGGGGGCTTATGGATCCGAGGCAAGGGGTGATTGAGCGAACTGGCCGCTGCCAAACATGTGCAGGTGAGTGTTGGGGGGGTTGGTGTGGAGTCATGAAGGGAAGGGGGAGCTTACGTCCTTAAAGAAACCCAGGCCTGTGCGGGGACCCCTGGAGACCTCGTCTCTGAGGTGAGAGCTGGGAGGAAAACGTTGGGTGTGTGTTCCCACAGGAAACATGACAGAGTGCCCTGGCCACTTCGGCCACATCGAGCTGGCCAAGCCTGTGTTTCACGTGGGCTTCCTGGTGAAGACGATGAAAGTTTTGCGCTGTGTCTGCTTCTTCTGCTCCAAGCTGCTTGTGGACTCAGTGAGTGGGGTGGGCCCGGCCCAGGGGAGGGGTTACATGGTGCGGGGGCAGAGGAGCAGGCCCGCCTGACGCTGCTCTGCTCTGTCCCCAGAACAACCCCAAGATCAAGGACATTCTGGCCAAGTCTAAGGGGCAGCCCAAGAAGCGGCTCACACACGTCTATGACCTCTGCAAGTCCTTTGCTCATTTGCCCTCAGCGGGGGAGGAGATGGACAACAAGTTTGGTGTGGAGCAACCTGAAGGTGATGAGGATTTGACCAAAGAAAAGGTAGCTGGGGCTGGGAGGCACTGTGGGGAGGGAGGGGGGGGGGTCCCAGAGGCCCGATCCCTGGGTTCTAAAGGCCCCTCGTTTTCCTGGGAAGGGCCATGGTGGCTGTGGGCGGTACCAGCCCAGGATCCGGCGCTCAGGCCTGGAGCTGTATGCGGAGTGGAAGCATGTCAATGAGGACTCTCAGGAGAAGAAGATCCTGCTGAGTCCCGAGCGCGTGCATGAGATCTTCAAGCGCATCTCGGACGAGGAGTGCTTTGTGCTGGGCATGGAGCCGCGCTACGCCCGGCCCGAGTGGATGATCGTCACGGTGCTGCCGGTGCCTCCGCTGTCTGTGCGGCCTGCCGTTGTGATGCAGGGTTCTGCCCGCAACCAGGTCAGTGGCTTCTGGACTCTTCCTCTCAGCTGACTGGCAGGTGTTGGGGTGTGGGGGGGCGGGGAGGATGTACATACAGGAGCCAGTGGGAGAGTACAGTGCATGGATGATGGACAGATCATCTGAGTCTGAAAATACCTGCCCCTTGCTAGCTGTATGACCTTGACCAAGGTCCCTAAGGTGGTTAAAGTTCATGAAGGTGCTTCTCTAACTGAAAGGAGAGAGCAGACCTGCCTCTCAGGGTGGGATGAGGACGCCAGAGGCGCTGTGTGCAGCACACACGTGCTGAGTGCTCAGTGGGAGCTGGATTGTGACTCTGCTGACTTCCTACTTCAGGATGACCTGACTCACAAACTGGCCGACATCGTGAAGATCAACAACCAGCTTCGGCGCAATGAGCAGAACGGCGCGGCGGCCCACGTCATTGCAGAGGACGTGAAGCTCCTCCAGTTCCATGTGGCCACCATGGTGGACAATGAGCTGCCTGGCTTGCCTCGAGTGAGTCGGCACACTCCCTACTCGGGGCACGAGAGGAACGGGTAGGGGGCCAGCATGAGGCCTCCGAGCTCTGGAGGAGAGGCCAGTGCTGACTGCTGGGGTGCCCCTCACCCTGTGTTTGCTCACAGGCCATGCAAAAGTCTGGGCGTCCCCTCAAGTCCTTGAAGCAGCGGTTAAAGGGCAAGGAAGGCCGGGTGCGAGGGAACCTGATGGGCAAGCGAGTGGACTTCTCAGCCCGCACGGTCATCACCCCCGACCCCAACCTCTCCATTGACCAGGTTGGCGTGCCTCGCTCCATTGCCGCCAACATGACCTTTGCAGAGATTGTCACCCCCTTCAACATTGACAGGTGTGCGCAGTTCAGAAGTCCTGCCTGGCGTTGCAGGGGAGACCTGAGGGTGATGGGCTCGGAGTGAACCGAAGGGAGCATTGACGTTTACAGCTGGGCTTCCATTGGGCTTGGCTTTGAGCAACGCCAGTGAGAGCTTTCTGGGAAGTTTTTTGTTTATTTCATGTGTTTCCTTCCTAGACTTCAGGAACTAGTGCGCAGGGGGAACAGCCAGTACCCAGGGGCCAAGTACATCATCCGAGACAATGGGGATCGCATTGACCTGCGTTTCCACCCCAAGCCCAGTGACCTTCACCTACAGACTGGCTATAAGGTACGGAACAGGCCAGGCCTCGTACTCACCTGAGCAGGAAGCTGTGTAGAGTGGGAGCTGGCTGTGGCTGTCCTGTTCCTCAGGATCCAGACTCATTGACTCTCCTTTCAAAACACTGCTGCTCTAGGCCGGACTGTGGTTGTTAGCCGCTGACAGTCTGGGTGGGAGTCACATAATCCCAAGGGCAGCATGCGGGGCACGTACGGCAGGGAAGAGGGAGGAACAGAGCAGAGGCTTCTTGTTTAGAATCTCTTATCTCCCCAGACTGAGTTCCCTGGGGTTGGTGGGTACTATTCTTGGTCATCTCTGATAACCTGGTATCTAACCCAGGGCCCGGCCCAAAGAGGGTGGTTGATAAGTGTTTCAAGTGAAATAATACCAAAGTACCATCCCTTTCCATCTACAAAGCATTTTAGGTCCCCCGTCATTCATCCCTAGCACCCCCCTTCACCGAGACTTTCCACACTTCACTCCCCAGGTGGAGCGGCACATGTGCGATGGGGACATTGTCATCTTCAACCGGCAGCCAACTCTGCATAAAATGTCCATGATGGGACATCGGGTCCGCATCCTCCCCTGGTCGACTTTTCGCTTGAACCTTAGGTCAGTCCGCTGGCTGAGGGCGTCGGACTCGGGCCGGGCTGCTCCCTGTGCTTTCACTGCAGGCGTCAGGCATCCTCCCAACTCGGACTCCTCTCTCTCACTGCAGTGTGACAACCCCGTACAATGCTGACTTCGATGGCGATGAGATGAACTTGCACCTTCCACAGTCTCTCGAGACTCGGGCAGAGATCCAGGAGCTGGCCATGGTGCCACGCATGATCGTCACGCCCCAGAGCAATCGCCCGGTCATGGGCATCGTGCAGGACACGCTCACTGCCGTGCGCAAGTTCACGAAGAGAGACGTCTTCCTGGAGCGGGTGTGTGTCCTGGAGAGGGAGCCCGGCTTGGGCAGGCGCAGGCCCCGGGCTGTGCGGCTGGGGTTGGGGAGGAAGAGCTGTGACCTTTGCCCTGACCTGCTCTGTCCTGACCTGTGAGATTAACTTGCTTGTGAGATGGAAGGAATGTAAGTTAGGAAAGATCAGAGGCCAAAAGGGTGTGCGACTTGAGCTCCCCATTTAATTCCGTAAAATGTCATGTAATTTCCGGTATTGTCTGGGAAGTAAAGGTGAAGGGGAAAATCAGTGACCTTGTTAAAATTCTGTGTATCTACTTCTTTTTACTTTCACTTATTTCCTATTATTACAAGTAATTTATACTTACTGGTGGGCTTTTTTTTTGTCTCATGACAAATTTTTAAATTAAAATTTTGGAAAACATTTTTTAAAATCTATTTGCCTCCAAAATCTGGCTTTCCTCCTGGGGCAGGGTAGCCTCCCCAGGCATTTCCAAGGGTTGAGGCCTGCAGTTCTAAGTTCCCATCTTCCTTGCTCTGTATCTCACAGGGTGAAGTGATGAACCTCCTAATGTTCCTGTCCACGTGGGACGGAAAGGTGCCACAGCCGGCCATCCTGAAGCCCCGGCCCCTGTGGACAGGCAAGCAGATCTTCTCCCTCATCATACCAGGCCACATCAACTGTATCCGCACCCACAGCACCCACCCCGACGACGAGGACAGCGGCCCTTACAAGCACATCTCTCCCGGGGACACTAAGGTAGGGCCTGGCTTCTGGGGGTGTGGGGACAGGACCTGGACATGGGAACCCCAGCAGGGGCCTTGAGTGGGTGCTCTGTCTGCAGGTGGTGGTGGAGAATGGGGAGCTCATCATGGGCATCCTGTGTAAGAAGTCTCTGGGCACATCAGCTGGCTCCCTGGTCCACATCTCTTACCTCGAGATGGGCCATGACATCACTCGCCTCTTCTATTCCAACATTCAGACTGTCATTAACAACTGGCTCCTCATTGAGGGTAAGTACAGGGCTCCGCCAAGCCCTCTACGAATCCTCTGCCACTGTTGACTGTTCTCTGCCATCCCTCTCTCAGTCCTTAGATTGGGTGTCCCTCCTCCTCCTCTCTTGGCTGTGATTCTGTCCCATGGTTCTTGGGAGACCAAAGAAGGTGTTGCTGATGCTTCTCCTTATCTCTAGGTCATACCATTGGCATTGGGGACTCTATTGCTGATTCCAAGACTTACCAGGACATTCAGAACACGATCAAGAAGGCCAAGCAGGATGTCATAGAGGTGAGAGGGAAGGCTGGGTAAAGACTGAACAAGAACCTTTCATGGATTTTGAACTTAATTAACAAAGAGGGTGTGTGGGTTAGAGAGAAGGGGAGTAAGACGGATTGGTGTTTCACTGAGAACTCTGCCTCCATCTTTGCACCCAGGTCATCGAGAAGGCGCATAACAACGAGCTGGAGCCCACCCCAGGGAACACCCTGCGGCAGACGTTTGAGAACCAGGTGAACCGCATTCTCAACGACGCCCGAGACAAGACTGGCTCCTCTGCCCAGAAGTCCCTGTCTGAATACAACAACTTTAAGTCTATGGTTGTGTCTGGAGCTAAAGGTTCCAAGATCAACATCTCCCAGGTGGGAGCCTTGTCTTTTCAGATTGGGGCCAACACTGAGAGTTGAGAGGGGAGGGGAAGTATGTGTTGCTGGGGGAGCAGTTGGGGAAAAACGGGGAACTCACTCTTAAGGCAAAGGGAGTCAGACGCGCCCCACCTTGTGTTTCCCAGGTCATTGCTGTTGTCGGGCAGCAGAACGTGGAGGGCAAGCGGATCCCGTTTGGATTCAAGCACCGGACTCTGCCCCACTTCATCAAGGATGACTATGGGCCCGAGAGCCGTGGCTTTGTGGAGAACTCCTACCTGGCCGGCCTCACACCCACCGAGTTCTTTTTCCATGCCATGGGCGGGCGTGAAGGGCTCATCGACACAGCTGTCAAGACTGCTGAGACTGGTGAGGCCTACAGAGCCAGGGTTTCCCGTGGCAGTCCCAGGGTGAACCACAGGCAGAAAAGTGCCTGGGGTGGGGAGTGGTGTTCTCGGGCTAAAGTCGTCTATTCCCAGAGATGGAATCTGGCCTTTGTGGAAAAAATAGAGACTAAAGCTCAAGAGCTAGGCAGATGCCCTCATTTGATTGCTCTGTAGCATTTCAGGATGAGGGATGGGGCCTCGGGGCTCCCTGCTGCTGACCTGTCACATGGGGGCTGGTTCCTCGGGGACTCTGCTGGGCCCTGGTTCCATTTGGTAGCGGACTGAGCTTTTAGTACGAGATCTCAGGGACGATGGGCTACTAGCTGGCTCTTCAGGTCGGTTAAGGCTTCAGAGTAACCAGCAAGGCTCATCCTGAGATAGGGAGGACTCATGGCTTTGTCAGCCTCTTCTTGCCTTGGGTCTCATGGTTGATTACCTCCCTCCAGGATACATCCAGCGGCGGCTGATCAAGTCCATGGAGTCGGTGATGGTGAAGTATGACGCCACTGTGCGCAACTCCATCAACCAGGTGGTGCAGCTGCGCTACGGCGAGGACGGCCTGGCGGGCGAGAGCGTGGAGTTCCAGAACCTGGCTACCCTCAAGCCTTCCAACAAGGCTTTTGAGAAGAAGTGAGGAGGTGGCAGGCGGGTGGTTCTCCCTCCAGCAGCTCAGGCCAGAGTTGTGGGATTCCCCTTCCCACCCAGATCACCGGGATGTGTCTTGCAGTGGACACTACCACCCTCCGACAGCAGCTGTGCTATGGCAGAGGGTGGGTGGAGGGCGGAGTTGAGACCCGTCACTGCCTTGTTCCTGGTGACGGCACAAAGCAAGCTTAGAGGGCTGCAGGCTCGGGTCCCGTTGGCAGTCCTTGGGCCTATATCTTATATTTCCCTGCCCAGGACTCTTGTCCCAAAGCTCTGTTCCTGAAGAACGCACACCTTTGGGAGCCTCACAGGGCTCCTTTGCAGAGATTGGGCCCCAGAGCCCACCTGTCCGACACCACGCCCTGTCCCTGCAGGTTCCGCTTCGATTACACCAATGAGAGGGCCCTGCGGCGCACTCTGCAGGAGGATCTGGTGAAGGACGTGCTGAGCAACGCACACATTCAGAACGAGCTGGAGCGAGAATTTGAAAGGATGCGTGAGGATCGGGAGGTGCTCAGGGTCATCTTCCCAACTGGGGACAGCAAGGTGCGTGTGGACAGGAAGGGCTGGGCTGGAGAAGTGTTCCCTGCGTGGCTGTCCCCAACCTGTGGTCCTTCCTCCCTTCGCTCCTGCCTCAGGTTGTCCTCCCCTGTAACCTGCTGCGCATGATCTGGAATGCTCAGAAAATCTTCCATATCAACCCTCGCCTTCCCTCGGACCTGCACCCCATCAAGGTGGTAGAGGGTGAGTACCTGCTTTGAGGCCTCCAGGCAGGAATAGCCGTCAAGAGTCTGCTGGACCGTGGTCTGCAAGCTCTTCATCCCTCATTTGGTCCCCAGGAGTCAAAGACTTGAGCAAGAAGCTGGTGATTGTGAATGGGGATGACCCTCTGAGCCGGCAGGCCCAGGAAAACGCCACGCTGCTCTTCAACATTCACCTTCGGTCCACGCTGTGCTCCCGCCGCATGGCTGAGGAATTTCGGCTCAGTGGAGAGGCCTTCGACTGGCTGCTTGGAGAGATTGAGTCCAAGTTCAACCAAGCCATTGTGAGTATTATCTCACCTCAGCCCTGTTTTTCTCCTTTGACCTCTCTGGGCTCTTGAGAACAGCCCACTTCTGCCCACAGACACCTAACAATAACTCTCACTCATTATGAGTCTGCTGTGCGCCAAGTCCTGTGTGTGAGGCTTTCTACCTTATTCCTGAGCGTCCTAGGACGACCCTAGTAGGAGGGGGCTGTTAGTTCCATGTTGCAGAGATAAAAACTGAGCCTTGGAGAGTGTGTGACTGTATTTATACGATGTTCATACAGGAAATAAGTGGCATGACTGGGATATGAAATGGTACTATTGTTATTTATTAAAATGTTTGCAGTGCAGAATTCTAAGTTAGATGGAGGTAGGGAATTGCAGTAAGCAGAAAAGAGATTTATAGGTACTGGAATATACCATCACTGTCTTTAAGGACTTTACAGGTTAATTGAAGGAGAGCAGCATTATGACTATAGGCAAGCTTTAGAATTCATTTGATCTAAATCTAGTTTTATAAACTAAATAATTAAAATTCACTAGGAAATACTACAAAACATGGCTGAAAGAAATTAAAGAAGACTTATTTAAATGTTCTTCCATGAATGAATGGATAAACCAAATTGGTATGGCCATACAAGGGAATATTATTTCATGATAAAAAGTGATAGGCTATCAAGCCATAAAAAGGCAGTAATGAACCTTAAATCCATAACAATGAAGTGAAAGAACCCCATCTAAAAAGGCTATATACTGTATGACTGCAATTAAAAGGTTATATTTTATCAAATTTGATTATATCTCAATTAAAACAATACATTGGGGAGCATCTTATTTAGAAGACCATTGCCAAATGAATATTTACCCTGTAAGTTCAGCATACTTCTAGAGATTTGGGATTTAGATGGTCTGGCACCTTTTCAAATCTCTGCCTTTTCCAAATGCCTCTGTCCCGTGTCCTTTACGAAGAGAAGATAGTGTCAGCCCTGACTGCACCTCGCTTTCATTCACCAAAAGGGAGGGCTTTTCTGATGCTCTCTCTGCTTCCTCCAGGCCCATCCTGGGGAGATGGTGGGAGCTCTGGCTGCACAGTCCCTTGGAGAGCCTGCAACCCAGATGACCTTGAACACCTTTCACTACGCTGGTGTGTCAGCCAAGAATGTGACACTGGGTGTGCCCCGGCTTAAGGAGCTCATCAACATTTCCAAGAAGCCAAAGACCCCCTCACTCACTGTCTTCCTGCTGGGCCAGTCTGCGCGAGATGCTGAGAGAGCCAAGGTAGGACTTGAGGGGATGGGCTTCCTGGCCGGGGAAAGGGAGGGGAACTCTTTCTCTTGAATAGAAAGTTTGGGGTTCTCTCTACGGGAGGGTTTGAAGAGGCCTTTGGAGCTACTAAAACACTGTGTCATGAATCCTTCTTTCTTCCCAGGACATTCTGTGCCGTCTGGAACATACAACGTTGAGGAAGGTGACTGCCAACACAGCCATCTACTATGACCCCAATCCTCAGAGCACGGTGGTGGCAGAGGATCAGGAGTGGGTGAATGTCTACTATGAGATGCCTGACTTTGATGTGGCCCGAATCTCCCCCTGGCTTCTGCGGGTGGAGCTGGACCGGAAGCACATGACTGACCGGAAGCTGACCATGGAGCAGATTGCTGAAAAGATCAATGCTGGTAAGGCTGGGGGGGCCAGCCCAGCGCAGTTGAGCCTGGGATCCTCTTCTGTCGTGTCCCTGCACTCTAGTCTCCAACAAGCCACCAACCCTCACCACTTTCTTCCGCTCTGGTTCTCGTCCCCAAGGCATCTCTCCTCCAGGTCCCCTCTCCATCCCCTTTTCCTTCTCAGGGTTTCCCCTCCCTCTTTCCAAAGGGTTCTATGGTGGTGGGGGGCGGTGTGTGCAGAAGAGCGCCCTGTAAGGAGAGAGCTGCAGATGAACAGTGACAGAAGCAAGTCCAATAGGTGTGATCTTTCTCATGACTCCACCCCCCAGGTTTTGGCGATGACTTGAATTGCATCTTTAATGACGATAATGCAGAGAAGCTGGTCCTCCGTATCCGCATCATGAACAGTGATGAAAACAAGATGCAGGAGGTAAGGGACCCAGGAGGAACTTGATATGTCAGATCTAAGAAGCCATTAAATCTTGTTCATGACCAAGAAGTTCCAGTGAAAGCAGCCTTGAGGTGCCAGTCACACCACCTAACGTAGGAATGGGTAATCGTGGTTAGCAATGATTTTCAAAACTTCTAGCATCAAAAGTCTTTGAAATCTGTAGTAATGTAGCTAAAGCAGGTAGCGTTGGAGTGGGGTCAGAGCCCTGTCATTGGCTCTCTCCTCCCTGAAGCTCCGGCACGCGGGCAGGGGGTAGAGTTGGGGGCAGGTTGGACAGGAGGAGTTGCTGTGCCCTAGGAAGAGTGGTGTGAGAGCAGGTGTAACAAGACCCAAGAAAGCGTTTGACTAACGGCTTCACTCTTGGGCGTAGCTCCTTGTTCGGCAGGTGTGGGTGCCTGCCTGGTGCTTTAATAATGAAAAATCAGAACTTGCTATGGAACTGTTGGAGAACAGATAACCTCACTGGAACCGAAGGGGGAGGGTCTGGGCCTGACTTGGCGGTTAGGTCCCTGAGGAGGCTAGAGTTTGTGGGGAGCCTGGGAAGAGACCGGAGGATTCCAGGAGCTCACCTCACTCTCGTTGCAGGAGGAAGAGGTGGTGGACAAGATGGATGACGATGTTTTTCTGCGCTGCATTGAGTCCAACATGCTGACAGATATGACCCTGCAGGGTATCGAGCAGATCAGCAAGGTCTGCCATTCCCTCCCCAGCAGCCTTCCACCTCCCACCCCTCCCCCTCCCACCCCTGCCCCACCCACCTGAACCCACTCTGTGCCCCTCCAGGTGTACATGCACCTGCCACAGACAGACAATAAGAAGAAGATCATTATCACCGAGGACGGGGAGTTCAAGGCCCTGCAGGAGTGGATCCTGGAGACGGACGGTGTGAGCCTGATGCGGGTGCTGAGTGAGAAGGACGTGGACCCCGTGCGCACCACGTCCAATGACATCGTGGAGATCTTCACGGTGAGCCTGTGGCCCCCGTGCCCGCAGTCTGTCCTGCATCCGGCTCCAGGCCCGTCCCTGGGGCTCTTGGCAACAGACGCTTTCTGTGTTTTCCACTCTCGGGGTGTCCGTGGTCCGTGTCTTCAGCCTGCACCCCCTTCTGACTCTGGGCTTCACTGGCTGCCCCCCTGGATCTGTGTGATGGTAGGAGCTGCGAGCAGAGCTACTCTGCCCTGACCTTTCCCCCCAACCCCACTCCAGGTGCTGGGAATTGAAGCTGTGCGGAAGGCCCTGGAGCGGGAGCTGTACCATGTCATCTCCTTTGATGGCTCCTACGTTAATTACCGGCACTTGGCTCTCTTGTGTGATACCATGACCTGTCGTGGCCACTTGATGGCCATCACGCGACACGGAGTCAACCGCCAGGATACTGGCCCTCTCATGAAATGCTCCTTCGAGGAAACGGTAATGGCAGAAGTGCTGGGTGCGGGGGAGGGGGGAGTGCTGGGCACTGGTGCTGTCCTCCCTGGGGGGGTGCGCCGTGCGGCGGTGGAGCGGCCCTGGAGCGCTGCGTGGAGGGTCTGATGGGGCCTGGCCCTCTTCTGGCTGCTCAGGTGGATGTGCTGATGGAAGCAGCTGCGCACGGAGAGAGCGACCCCATGAAGGGGGTGTCTGAGAACATCATGCTGGGCCAGCTGGCTCCCGCCGGCACTGGCTGTTTCGACCTCCTCCTCGATGCAGAGAAGTGCAAGTACGGCATGGAGATCCCCACCAACATCCCCGGCTTGGGGGCTGCCGGACGTGAGTATGAGGGTCTCGGCTGCCCAGAACCTGCTGGGCCTGTGAAGGGGAGGCAGGCCCTGGACGGGAGGGTGGCTGTTACTCAGAGTCGCTGTGTTCCTTTTGCAGCCACCGGCATGTTCTTCGGCTCAGCACCCAGTCCCATGGGAGGAATTTCTCCAGCCATGACGCCCTGGAACCAGGGCGCAACCCCAGCCTACGGCGCCTGGTCCCCCAGTGTTGGTGAGTGGCCCCGCCCAGGAGAGAGCTCTTTGGGTGGATCGAGGGCTCGCAGAGGGTCACCAGGTTGGAACACTGGAGGCCGTGGAGCTCTGGGGAGGGTGCTGGACTCCAGCTTGGCTTTTGTTTTTTGGTTTTTTTTGAAGTTTAATATGTTAACTTCATTACTGTAAAGCCAGAAAATATGACTTGCGGGCTGAGGCCATGTGGGTGTGTGACATTCCTCCTGAATTGGACAGATTTCCTTCCCCTGCCTCATGCCTCCCAGGCGGCTCTCCAACTTGCTCTGAGATGCTCCCGCTCTGGTTTTAACGTAACATTTCTCTCTCGCAGGGAGTGGAATGACTCCAGGGGCCGCCGGCTTCTCTCCCAGCGCTGCTTCAGATGCCAGTGGCTTCAGCCCGGGTTACTCCCCCGCCTGGTCTCCCACCCCCGGCTCCCCAGGCTCCCCAGGCCCTTCAAGCCCGTACATCCCGTCACCAGGTGAGCTGTCCGTCTCTCACTGCCAAGTTCATTTCTCCCTGATCTTTCCTCTAGGGCTTGTCTCACTTAACTCCTCTCGGCTTCTTTCCTACAGGTGGTGCCATGTCTCCCAGCTACTCACCAACGTCGCCTGCCTACGAGCCCCGCTCCCCTGGGGGCTACACACCGCAGAGTCCCTCTTACTCTCCCACTTCACCCTCCTACTCCCCTACCTCTCCATCCTATTCTCCAACCAGCCCCAACTACAGTCCCACATCACCCAGCTACTCTCCAACCTCTCCCAGCTACTCCCCGACTTCTCCCAGCTACTCCCCGACCTCCCCCAGTTATTCTCCCACCTCTCCCAGCTATTCTCCAACTTCCCCAAGCTACTCGCCTACATCACCTAGCTACTCGCCAACCTCTCCCAGCTACTCACCAACCTCTCCCAGCTACTCGCCAACTTCTCCCAGTTACTCGCCAACATCACCCAGCTATTCTCCCACCTCTCCTAGCTACTCGCCAACTTCTCCGAGTTATTCTCCGACATCACCAAGTTACTCACCCACTTCCCCAAGTTACTCACCCACCAGCCCTAACTATTCTCCAACCAGTCCCAATTACACCCCTACATCACCCAGCTATAGCCCAACGTCGCCCAGCTACTCACCTACTAGTCCCAACTACACACCAACAAGCCCTAACTACAGCCCAACCTCTCCGAGCTACTCTCCAACTTCACCCAGCTACTCCCCGACCTCACCAAGTTACTCCCCTTCAAGTCCACGGTACACACCACAGTCTCCAACCTATACCCCAAGCTCGCCCAGCTACAGTCCCAGCTCTCCCAGCTACAGCCCTACCTCACCGAAGTATACCCCAACCAGCCCTTCCTACAGTCCCAGCTCACCAGAGTATACCCCAACCTCTCCCAAGTACTCGCCTACCAGCCCGAAGTATTCGCCCACCTCTCCCAAGTATTCTCCTACCAGCCCCACCTATTCGCCCACCACCCCGAAATACTCACCAACGTCTCCTACTTACTCCCCGACCTCTCCAGTCTACACCCCAACCTCCCCCAAGTACTCACCTACTAGCCCCACCTACTCCCCCACCTCCCCCAAGTACTCGCCGACCAGCCCCACCTATTCACCCACCTCCCCCAAAGGCTCTACCTACTCGCCCACTTCCCCGGGCTACTCGCCCACCAGCCCCACCTATAGTCTCACCAGCCCAGCCATCAGCCCAGATGACAGTGATGAGGAGAACTGAGGCTGAGCAGGGCACAGCAGCAGCTGGCTAAGGCGAAGGGCGTCCTCTCACCTCCCTCGTGGGGTGCAAGCCGCCAGCCTGGCTCCTTTGTACATAGCTCCTTGTGTTCCCCATCGAAGTTTGGTCCTGTTTCCGGTGGGGCTTTGGTCTTGTTCTCCACTTGTGCTGTCTCCGAACCCACTCTCCTGACTGGTGTTCTTCCTACCCCACCCACCCAAGTCTGTCCCCAAATTGAGGATCCCTCCTTGCCTGTGGCTTGATTGGGGGTAAAGGGTATTTTGACTTCTTAGGGGTAGTTCCTGCTCTGGGTCGTTACATCTGATCCTCAAGAACAAAGCTAAAGCTGCCTTTCTGTGTATTATTTTTTGAAATTTAAATAAAGTTTACTAATTTTGACCAAAAGCATGTATATCTGAGTGCTTATTACTAGGCGGGCATACCCAGGCTCCTGCTTCCTGCCTGGGCTGCTATGCCATTTAGTGTTTCAGGTGCTTCCTGTTAATGGGGGGGTAGGGTGGGTGGGGAGGCGGGAACATGAGAGCAGGTGGTACCTTTCACCTGTTGAACAAATACCTACTGTGTGCCAGGCAGTGTTCTGGATCTGTCATCAAACAGATACAGCACTTGTCCCACATTAAAGCAATATTGAACATAATGGCTTTTTAACCTATTTTCATGATTATAATATACTAGAGGCCCAGTGCATGAAGTTCTTGCACGGGTAAGGTCCTTAGGCCTGGCTGGTGATCAGGGCTGATCGGGGCCTTCTGGCTGCCGGCCGGGGCCTCCCTTCGTTCCATGCCACCCCCTGATGGTCAGCCCACGTCATAGTGAGCGATAGAACTCCCCGTCTCACCGTTGAACTCCTGCAGGGACTCTTTGCATATTAGCCTTTTATATAGAGATAATTGGGAAAAGTATAGGAAGATGTGGTACAGAAGAAAAGTTATGCTTAACACGACCACCAGGAGGCAGGTTTTCTTTTGGTATTTTTTTTTACATGTTTCTCAAGTCACTTCTAACCAGTTTTTGTTTTGTCCTCGAACCGACAATGAGAAGATTATAATGTAATATGTTTTAAAACTGGAGTTAAAGGATTTGGGGCTAATTTGCTGTTTTCAGTTGGCCATTGCATAATTTCTTTTATTAGCACCTTCATGTAGATAAAACAGCTTTCTATATTCTCTGCAAGTTATTTCTGGTTTACTTGAGATATTTTATTTTATATATTTTTAATGATTTAAGAGAGGAAGGTAGAGGGAGAGAGAAATAGAAACATCAGTGATGAGAGAGACATTGATTGGCTGCCTCCTGCACGCCCCCTATTGGGGATCAAGCCTGCAACCTGGGCATGTGCCCTTGACTGGAATCGAACCTGGGACCCTTAAGCCCACAGGCCAACACTCTACCCATTGAGCCAAACCAGCTAGGGTGAGATATTTTAAATTAACTTATTTAATTCTAATCCTCACCTGATATGTTTTTGTAGTGTTCTCCCCCCCCCCCCCCCTTTATCCTTCTTTATTGAATAACTTTCAAGATATAATTACAATGAAAGGTGACATGTTAGGACAGAATTTTTTTTCTCCTGGTTTTGAGGATATGTTTATTGATTTCAGAGAGAGAGGATGGGGGAGAGAGAGAAACACAGACTGGTTGCCTCTTGTAAGCGCCCCAACTAAGAACTAACTGGCAACTTATGTGACCCTTTATTCTTTAAAGCTTAATCATATTTCAAAGAACAGAAAGTGATATTGGCCAAGATCTATTAATTTATCACCAAAATTACAGATAATAGATAACATTTTGCTAGATTTCTGAGCACTATAAAAAGAAAAAAATCTCAAGCCCCATCACCAAGAAACTACTAATATTGGCAGTTAACAAACGTAATTCCAGACATTTATAGGATGGTAGAAAGTTAGATAGAAATTGTTTAATAATAATGGGGATATTTACACACTGTCAAGTTTGGGTGCTGTAACACACCATGGACTGGCTTATGAACATGCATTTATTTCTCTCCGCTCTGGAAGCTGGAGATTCCAAGAGAAAGGTGCAGGCAGGTTGGGTGCCTGGTGAGAGTGCTTTCCGGTTCATAGACGGCCATCTACTCACTCTGTCCTCACACAGCAGAAGGGGCAGGGGCACTCTCGGGGTTCTTTATAAGGACACAATTCTACTCATGAGGACTGATTCCACCCTCATGACCTAAGCACCTCCCAGATCCTGACATCCGAATACCATCGCATTGTGCCCTAGCCGATTTGGCTCAGTGGATAGAGCGTCAGCAAGGGCACATGACTGGTTGAGGGCACATGCCTGGGTTGCGGGCTCAATTCCCAGTGGGGCATGCAGGAGGCAGCCAATCAATGATCCTCTCTCATCATTGGTATTTCTATCTCTCCCTCTCCCTTCTCTGAAATCAATAAAAATATATTTTTAAAAATGCAGTGGTTTCCAAACATTAAAAAAACAAAAACAATAAACCCCACCATCACAGTTGGGATTAAGTTTCAACATAATTTCTGAAAAACATTTAGTCTATACCTTCAATAATTTAATAGATTCAATAATTTTTTAGAAGAAAAAAAGTTAAGTGAAACATAAATTTGCTGGATGTCATATCACTGATAGATTGCCATAAGAAATATTCCTAAAAGGTCCCTCTAACATTAAAAAAAAAATTATGAAAACTGTTGGCAACGTCAGGCTATTTTTTAACAAAAAACAATGAAACTTTAGAACAGGGCTCCTCAAACTTTTTAAACAGGGGGCCAGTTCACTGTCCCTCAGACATTCCACACATGCGCACTGCGGGCCCGGGACGAGTCGGCTGCTAAGCAGGACAGGCAGCGGCGGTAAAAACACCCGGCGGGCCGGATAAATGTTTTCGGCCGGCCGCATGTGGCCCGCGGGCCGTAGTTTGAGGACCCCTGCTTTAGATGGTATATATTGATTATAGTATTCTTGTGTTCCCCTTTTTGTGTTTTTTAACTATGTGTTTTAAAAGAGAATAAAATAGCCCTAACCAGTTTGGCTCAGTGGATAGAGCATCGGCCTGCAGACTGAAAGGTCCCAGGTTCCATTCCGGTTAAGGCCATGTACCTTGGTTGCGGGCACATCCCCAGTAGGGAGTGTGCAGGAGGCAGCTGATCGATGTCTCTCTCTCATCGATGTTTCTAGCTCTCTATCCCTCTCCCGTCCTCTCTGTGAAAAATCAATAAAATATATATATTTTAAAAAAGAATAAAATAGAACATGTGTATACTCCCACCCATTTTAAGAAATTGAATCTTGGTGCCCCTTATATGCTCCTGTCATAGCATGGCCTTCTCTCTTCCCCAGAGGTTTCTTGGTGATGTTCCTTTGTTGTTGTTGTTAATCCTCACCCAAGGATATGTTTTCCATTGATTTTTTTTTTTTTTTTTTTTAGAGAGAGAGTGGAAAGGAGGGAGGGGAGAGAGAGATCGAGAGATCGATGGGTTGACTCCCGTACAGAAAAAAATCTCAAAGTTCCATCACCAAGAAACTAATATTGGCAGTTAGCAAACATAATTCCAGATATTTCATCAAAGGTTAAGTGTTTGGCCCTAACTGGTTTGGCTCAGTGGATAGAGCGTTGGCCTGCGGACTGGAAGGTTCCAGGTTCAATTCAAGTCAAGGGCATGTACCTCGGTTGCGGGCACATACCCAGTGCGGAGTGTGCAGGAGGCAGCTGATCGATGTTTCTCTCTCATCGATGTTTCTAACTCTCTATCCCTCTCCCTTCCTCTCTGTAAAAAATCAATAAAATATATTAAAAAAAAAAAAAGGTTGAGTGTTTGATCCCCAACCAGGGATCAAATCCTCAAACTTTTGGTGTACAAGACAATGCTGCAACCAACTGAGCCACCCAGCCAGGCACTATAGTTTTTAAATAAACTTTTATCAAGTTAGGAAAGTACTCTTATTTTACTATGAATTAATATTAAATTTTATGAAACATTGTTTTTTCTCCAGGGGTTTGCTAGCCTCAAAAGTGTTTGAGATTAATCCCTCATTTTCTGTTTTTTGGTTTTGTTTTTCAAAGTATGGGATTATCTATTCTCCAAATACTAGTATTTGGCAGCACTCACCTGAACTGGTCAGGGCAAGATGCTAGGTGTTTTCTTTGTAGGAAGATAGTTATGTACTGATTCAATTCCATAATTAATTATAGGACTAATCATGTTTTCTATTTCTCCTTGACTTAGTTTTAGTAAATAGTATTTTCATAGAAACCTATTTTCAAATAAAGATATTCAGAATATCTTATTTTTATGACTTGTTTAATGTCTGCCATTTCTGGAGTTATGTCACCATTTTGTCTCCTCTATTGTTTAATATGTATATATTTTCATTGATTTCAGAGAAAAGAAGGGAGAGGGAGAGAGGGATAGAAACATCAATGATGGGAATCATTGAACGGCTGCCTCCTGCACGCCCTCTACTGGGGATCGAGCCACAACCAGCCGGGCTTCTGTATTGGTTATTTGTTCTCCAGCCATCTTGCCATAGGGTTGTCAATTTTCACTTTTTAAAAAATGTATCTTTATTGTTGAAAGCATTACAGACGTCCCCCTTTTTTTCCCCTCCCATTGATCCTCTCCCCGCTGAGTCCTCCTCCCACCCCCTGCGGGCATCACTTTTTCACTTTTAAATGAACTTCTGGCTTTATTGATTGTATTATATGTTTGAATCCTAATTAACTTCTGTTCTTAGCTATATTGTTTCCTGACTTTCTAATTTCCTTGGGGTTTATTTTGCTATTCTTTTAATAGTTTCATTAGCTTTTTATTTATTTTTTTAAAATATATTTATATTGATTTCAGAGTGGAAGGGAGAGGGAAAGAGAGATAGAAACATCAATAATGAGAATCACTGATCAGCTGCCTCCTGCACGCCCCCCACTGGGGATCGAGCCCATAACCTGGGCATGTGCCCTTGACCGGAATAGAACCTAGGATCTTTCAGTCCTCAGGCAAACGCTCCATCCACTGAGCCAAATCTGCTAGGGCCGTGGTCGGCAAACTCATTAGTCAACAGAGCCAAATATCAACAGTACAACGACTGAAATTTCTTTTGAGAGCCAAATTTTTTAAACTTAAACTATATAGGTAGGTACATTGTTATTAACTTAATTAGGGTACTCCCAAGGCTTAGGAAAAGCCACACTCAAGGGGCCAAAGAGCCGCGTGTGGCTCGCGAGCCGCAGTTAGCCGACCACGGTGCTAGGGTGTTCATTAGATTTTTAGCTGTAAACACATGCATTGTATTTTTTTTAAGTACGAGGAAAACAGTCTTTTATATTTGCTTAGATATTTAGCATTTTCTATGCTCTCCTTCCTTCCTGAAAGTGATTTTCCCCTCTAGTATCATTTCCCTTCAGCCTGAAGAACTTCCTTTAGCATCTCTCATAGAGCGGTGCTGCTGATGACAAGTGATTGCAGTTGTCTGCCTTCACTTCTGAAGGGGAGCTTCACTGAATATAAGATTCTGCTGTGACAGGTTCGTTGTTCTTTTAGCACTTTCAAGATGTCCGACTAATCTGGCCTTCGCAGTTTCTGATAAGTTTGCAGCCTTGTGTGACTTTTCTCTGGTTGCTTTCCAGATTTTTTTTAATCTTTGCTTTTTTTGTTGTTGTTAGTCCTCAAGGATATTTTTCCATTGATTTTTAGAAAGAGTGGAAGGAGAGGGAGAGACAGACGAGAGACACATCGATTGGTTGCCTCCTGCACACACCCCAACTAGGGCCAGGGAACCTGCAACCAAGGTATGTGCTCTTGACCAGAATTGAACCCAGGACCCTTCAGTCCACGGGCCGACGCTTTATCCACTGAGCCAAACCGGCCAGGGCTGTCTTTGCTTTTCAATAGTTTGACTTTTATATTCCGAGGTATAGTTTTTTTTTTTATCCTGTTTGGGTTTCCCTGAGATTTTTGATTTTGTAAGTTTATGTCTTTTTTTATGATTGTTTTCTCTTTTTAAATGTTATTACTGATTTCAGTGAAAGAGGAAAGGAGAGAGAGAGAGAGAGAGAGAGAGAGATCAGTTGCCTGCCAAACACACCCCAACTGGGGATCAAACCCAAAACCTGGGTATGTTCCCGGACTGGGAATTGGACCGGCGACCTTTCGGTGCACGGGACAGAGCTCACCATTGCACCACACCAACCAGGGCCATTATTCTTTAAAATATTTTTTTCTGCCCCATTGTTCCCTCTCCTGGCAGTCAGTAACGTGGGTTAGATTTTTTTTACTATGCCCTATGCCTGAGGCTTTTATTCAATCTCCTCCCTCACTTTTTCTCCTCTTTATATCATTTCTATTGATCTATCTTCGAGTTTACTGAGATTTTTTTTCCTCCTGTCATCTACTAATATATTCTGCTATTAAGCCTATCCAGTGACCTTTTATTTATTTTTATTTATTTATTTATTTATTTATTTTTTCTTGTCAAATGACTTTACTTGAGGCAACAAGTGAAATATAATTTAACTCAACAGGAAATATCACACTTGGAGGGAAAACATAGAAAAAACACACACCTTAAAGCCAAACATTCTTTCCAAGGGCCAGCGCTGACATTTCCAGACTGACGGCGGAATGAGCGTTTCCATGAAACAAAACCGTGCGTCCAAGTCTGGCTTGGAAAGTTTTCCACTTCATCGCCACTTCTCAAGGCTCAGGGCACGATGCTTGTGGCCTTCCGCAGGGCCAGGTAGCCTGTGACATCGGAGGGCAGCCTCCGAGTGTAGGAAAACTCTTCGATGGTGCTGAACCGCAGCTTGCTCTGCGGGTCAGTGTAGTTGGCAAGAAGACCTGAAACATCAGAATACTTCTTAGCTGGTTTGAAGGATGGAGGAGCATCAATACTGAAGTAGTTAGGATCATTCAGTTGCCACGGCAATGCCCTTTCAGAAGCGAGGATTTGTTTCAGGTTCTTCCAGGTTCTGTTCTTCTTGCCAGCTACCGCGCCACCACGGCCGGAGTGCACAAAGTTGGGATCCTTAAATGGCAAAGGTTTGGAAGTTTTTTCCATAGGTCCTGTGCTAAAGTCAGAGGGCACCATTTGATTCTCACTCATGGCTTCCATGCTGATACCCTGTGCAAAGCTAGAGGCGGACACTTTTTTCTTCTTACCCGGGCCATATCCCCCGCTGCTGCTGCTGCTGCTGCCGTTGTGGGAAGGACTGGCTGGCCTCTTCTTGCTGTTCCGGGAAATCCCCGGAGCGGCCGTGGAGGCCACAATTGGAATTAGAGCCGCCATTCCTATCCTGAGTCTTCCCCCCCCCCCCCCCCCAACCCCCCTTGCTTTCTCTGCAAAGGTCCTCTATTTTTATTTTTAAAAATATGTTTTTTATTGCCCTAGTAGCCTAGCCGGTTTGGCCCAGTGGATAGAGTGTTGGCCTGAGGACTGAAGGGACCTGGGTTGGATTCCAGTCAAGGGCACGGACCTCGGTTGTAGTCTCGATCCCTGGCCCTGGTCAGGGCGTGCAGGAGGCAACCAATCAATGTGTCTTTCTCACATTGATGTTTCTCTCTGTCTCTCCCTTCCCTTTCACTCTGTCTAAAAACCAATGGAGCCCTGACCGGTTTGGCTCAGTGGATAGAGCGTCGGCCTGCGGACTGAAGGGTCCCAGGTTTGATTCCGGTCAAGGGCATGTACCTTGGTTGCAGGCACATCCCCAGTGGGGGGTGTGCAGGAGGCAGCTGATTGATATTTCTTGTTAATCAATGTTTCTAACTCTCTATCCCTCTCCCTTCCTCTCTGTAAAAAATCAATAAAATATATTTTAAAAAAATAAAATAAAAACCAATGGAAAAATATCCTCAGGGTGAGCATTTACAGCAGCAACAACAACAACAAATATATACTTATATGTTTTTATTGATTTCAGAGAGAGGAATGGAGAGGGGGAGAGAGATAGAAACATCAATGATGAGGGAGAATCATCATCTATCTGCTGCCTCTTGTACCCCCACTACTGGGGATCGAGCCGCAACCGGGGCATGTGCCCTGACCAGGAATCAAACCTGAGACCTCTTGTATCCTGGCTGATGCTCAACCACTGAGTCACACCAGCCGGGCTATGTGTTTCTGTATAAAGACACCTTATTTAATATAGTATATTGTTGATTCATTATAATTAAACTCATTGTCAAAAGCATTATAACTCTTGCTTTAATGAAACTTATCTAACACATATTTTCTTTAAAAAAATTTTTTATTGTTTTTTTACAGAGAGGAAGGGAGAGGGATAGAGAGTTAGAAACATCGATGAGAGAGAAACATCAATTCAGCTGCCAGATGTGCCCGCAACCAAGGTACATGCCCTTGACCGGAATCGAACCTGGGACCCTTCAGTCTGCAGGCCGACGCTCTATCCACTGAGCCAAACTGGTTAGGGCCTAACACATATTTTCTCCATAAGATACATCACAGCCTTCTTTCAATTAAGAGCAGACAGCAGTACTTCAGTACTCCATTTGGGGACTTTTTTTTTTAAACGTTGAGTGTTTTATTTATTTATTTTTCTCCCTTTACTTTATTTTATTATTTTTTCCCATCACCGTTTATCATCCATATATCCTCGTTCACCACATCACTCCCAGTCACCACATCATTTGGGGACCATTTTCAACATCACAAACAAAAAGCAAAAAAATGTGAAAAATGTGTTCCTAAATATACCTCAAAAAGGACACGTAAGTATTAAAGCTAAAACAAGAAGGCAGAGTGTTGTCTTCTTCAACCTCAGCTTGAAAGTGTACATTGGGTGATTGGATTTTCATCAGTCTACCTGTCATGCAAATGACCGTGAAAGCATCATGAGTATTGATTTTGGCCTTACAAATAAATTTTTGGCAAGAAGGCAAATTTGAATATAGAATCAGCAAACAATAGCATCAACTCTGTGTGTATCATGTTTATCTTTCATTCTTTCTCTGTTGAAATTTCATATCTTTTTACTCATTTTAGAAATATATTTTTTGCCCAGCCGGTGTGGCTCAATGGTTGAGCGTCAACCTGTGAACCAGCAGGTCATGGTTTGATTTCTAGTAAGGGGCACATGCCCAGGTTTCCAGCTGGATCCCCAGTAGGGGGCGTGCAGGAGGCAACTGATCAATGAGTCTCTCTCATCATTGAGGTTTCTATCTCTCCCTCTCCCTTCCTCTCTGAAATCAATAAAAAAAGATTTTTTTAAAAGTATGTATTTTTAGGAAAGAATATATATTTTTTTAAAAATCTTTTTTTATTGATTTTAGAGAGGAAGGGAGAGGCAGATAAACATCGATGTGAGAGAGAAACATCCATCGGCTGCCTCCCTTACGCACCCTGAATGGGACTGAACCAGAAACCTGGGCATGTGCCGTGACTGGGGATTGAACCTGCAACCTTTGTTGCACTGGATGATGCTCAACCAACTGAGCCACACTGGCCAGGGCAAGAGTATATTTCTTTGCCTCACTGAGCATAGTTACAATAGCTGTTTTAAGTCTTTTTATAATAATACCAACCTGGTTCTATGTATGTAAAGTAATTTTGGATTGTATTTGTACATTATTTTTAAAAATATATTTTATTGATTTTTTCCAGAGAGGAAGGGAGAGGGATAGAGAGTTAGAAACATTGATCAGCTGCCTCCTGCACAGCTCTTATTGGGGATGTGCCTGCAACCAAGGTACATGCCCTTGACCAGAATCGAACCTGGGACCTTTCGGTCCACAGGCCGACGCTCTATTCACTGAGCCAAACCGGTCAGGGCTATTTGTACATTATTAATATTATATTATGGTGACTCTGGATTCTGTAATCTATACTAATAAAAGCAGAATATGCTAATTAGACTGGACATCCTTCCAGACAACCTTCCGGCTGAAGCTGGGGCTGAGTGGGAAGCCTGGGTCCTGGGTGCCAGAGGGAATCTGGTGCTGGCAGCTGGGGGAAGAAAGACCTACTCTTGCACGAATTTCGTGCATTGGGTCTCTAGTCTTACTTTAAAGACTGTGTACTTTTGTTTTATTAGGCAATTGACTTGGTTAGACCCAACTGCAAATATTGTCTCATCTGTGTGGATGGCAGGGGGAATTTTTGAGGCCAGTATTTCAGCTTTGTTCTCACCCCAAGAGAGCTGCCCCCCCTGCCCCCCATCCTCTCTGGTGAACCAGCTGACCTATGGTTTAACTTACTGCTTTTAAATACAATGAACTACCAGCCTTCTCTTATTTGCTTACAAAATCTTCATTGTTTTAGAGAGCACCCTTAGACTTGAACTTCTCTGCACTGTTTCGAATAAAGTCAGTTCCTTTGGAGAGAGTGTCAGATCTCTCTGTTTTTATGAACGGCCTTGTCCCCTGGGGGAAATCTCTTAGCCAGTACCCTGGGTGCTGGGTTGGAGTGGTAGGCAGCCTCTGATCTTCTCAGCTGGCCTCTCCCCGGAAGGGAGCCTCTGTCCTGAGTGAGCTGAGGTGTGGACAATTGGGGCTCCGGTGTTCCTGGCCAGCCGCACCTGGGATAAAGCCTCTTTCCATTGCACCTGTCCCTTGATTGGGAGCTGAGAGGAGAGGAAGTCTTGTCTTCTTGGCCACACCTGCCCAGAGCTTCCATCAAAGTGGGCTGGGAATGGTGGTGGGGAGGGGAGGGGGAGAGGTGCGGATACGGAGAGGGAGCAGCAGGTTGTGGTGCAAATGCTGTAGATCCTCACTGTTCTTACTAAGTTTTAGCAGGTTTTCTTGAATAAATGTTTCCTCACCTCTGGAATCCTCGTAGGACAATTACCAGACTTTAAAACCATATTTGAAATAGTTTTCACCAGTTATATCTGTTTCACTTGGAAGTGGTCCATGGAATTCCTCATGCTGCCATCCTGGAGGTGAAACTTCACCTTTCTTGTCTTCTCTCTCTCTTTAAAAGTTAATAACAACTTCATTGGTATATCATTTACACATCATACACTTCTCCCATTTCAAGCGTACAATTCAATGGTTTTAGTTATATTCATAGGTATGTGCAACCATCACAATCAATTTCAGAACATTTTTATCACTTAGAAAAAGAAACCCCATACTCTTCAGCTATTGCCCTACCCCCCTCCATCTCTAAACAACCATTTATCTACTTTCTGTCTGAATAGAATTGCTCCTTCTGAAGATTTGATATAAATGGAATCACAGAATGTGTTCGTTTGTGATTGGTTTCTTTTTACCTTTTTTCTTGAAAGATAGTGTTGCTGATTTTTTAAAAATGTTTTTGTAGCCCTAGCGGGTTTGGCTTAGTGGACAGAGCGTCAGCCTGCCGACCGAAGGATCGGGTTCGATTCCGGCCAAGGGCACCTACCTCTGTTGCAGGCTCTTCCCGGGCCTTGGTTGGGGCACATGCATGATGCAACCAATCGTTGTGTTTCTCTCACACAATATTTCTCTCTGTTTTTCCCTCTCTTCCACTCTCCCTAAAGATCAATGGAAAAATATCCTTGGGTGAGGGTTTAAAAAAATGTTTTTGTAGATTGCTCATGTTTTTCACATGTAAAGTTGGTATGCCTGATTTTATTTTTTAATCCTTACCCAAGGATATGTTTCTTGATTTTCTTTTTCTTTCTTTCTTTTCTTTTTTTTTGAGAGAGAGAGAGAAACATCAATCAATCAATTGATGGATCAGTTGCCTCTTGTATGCAGCCCAACTGGGGATCCTACTCGCAACCTAGGTATATGCCCTGACCGGGAATCGAACCCGCCACCTTTTCGGTATACGGGATGATGCTCCAACTAACTGAGCCACCTGGCCAGGTTGCTGATTATTGAATTCTAGGTTGACAGTTATTTTCTCTCAGAACATTAAAGATTATTCTTTTTGTCTCCTGGGTTCACCTTTTTTTCTGTTGAAAATTTAGTCATCAATCCAATTGCTTTTCCTTTTCTCTTCGGCTGTTATAAGATTTCCGTTCCTTGGTGCTTCACAATTTCACTATGACATGTCTAATGTGGCTTCCTTTCTATTTCTCATGGTCCTCCTGTAATGTAAGCTTTCTAGCTATGAAGATTGATATCTTTCTTTTTAAAAAAAATATGTTTTTATTGATTTCAGAGAGGAAGGGAGAGGGAGAGAGAGAGCTAGAAACATCAATGATGAGAGAAAATCACTAATCAACTGCCTCCTGCACGCCTCCTACTAGGGATTGAGCCTGCAACCCGGGCCTGTACCCTGATCAAAATCGAACCCGGGACCCTTCAGTCCGCAGACCAACGCTCTATTCACTGAGCCAAACTGAAGATTGATACCTTTCAATAAT